CTCGGAAGGATGGAAGGCTGAGTCAACCTTGAGCCGGTGAGATTAGAACCGCTGAACTGCAGATAACAGTCAGCTGAAGTGGCTTGCAGTACTGCGCCCTAACCACTGCGCCACCTTGGCTCATTTTCCCTTCTATTATTTTATACACATTCTTCTTCATTTCCTACTTTCTCATTTTTGCAACCTTATCCATCTATACACAGTCTTCCCACCCCTGTCGCCTTCTAAGTAAATGCCATCTCTCTCCCTTGTCTTTCTATGGGTTTCCTTACGCGTTGATTTTACATCTCTTTCTGAGCCAGTTACACCACCTGTTCCATATCTAGTAGTAAACCTGTAACATTCCAGCATATTTTTATGATTTCTGCGTTTGATGGAATAGTTTTTAGTTTCTAATTTTGGGCATATGAAATTCTGGCAGCAGTGATTATACGAAGCCTTACATATTGGATATCCTTACTGATATATTTTTTTTAATTATTCCTAGAAGAAACAGCTCAGGGTTCATGTCAATTTTTTTGTTCTATTATTTCTTCTAACCCAGTGTTTCTCAATCTTGGTGACTTTAAGTCCTGCGGACTTCAACTCCCAGAATCCCCCAGCCAGCATAGCTGGCTGGGGAATTCTGGGAGTTGAAGTCCGCAGGACTTAAAGTCACCAAGATTGAGAAACACTGTCCTAACCATTTTTTAATTTTGGTCCAGAATTCTTTGGCTTTTGGACACCACATATGGCAGGAGGTTCCCTCTCAACCAACCACATTTCAACCGCCTGGATTTAAGGGTTTTTTCCTCACCCGTCGGCTGCGAAGAAGCCTTTGCATCGGGAAGATTACAGATTAGCAGAGTTGGAAGGGACCTTGCAGGTCAACTAAAGGCCCAGGGGCCGGGTATGGCCCATGGGCCACATAGATCTGGCCCACAGGGCCGCCCTGGAAACAGCAAAGGACCGCCCCACGGTGCCTCTGCCGTGGCAGCCGAAAACGGAGCTCGGGAGCCCATTTTCCCTGGGACTTGGGCCCCAATAGACGCCCCCTGACAGGAGTGACCTCAAGCTGGCCACACCCACCCTGCTCCCTCCACAAGTCAAATATAATCCTGATGCAGCCCTCAATGAAATCGAGTTTGACACGCCTGTTGTAGGTCAACCCCCCCACCCAAGCAGGAGACCCTGCACCATTCCTGACAGAGGGCAGTCCAGTCTCTTGAAAGCCTCCAATGATGAAGCTCCCACAACTTCCGAAGGCAACTTCTCTTCCATGGGTTGATGGTTCTCACTGGCAGGAAAATCCTCCTTATTTCCAAGTTGAATCTCTCCTTGGTCAGTTCCCATCCATTCTTCCTTCTCTGGCCTTTGGGGGCTTTGGAAAATATCTTGACCACCTCCTCTCTGTGGCAGCCCCTCGAATATTGGAAGATGCTCTCCTGTCTCCCCTGGTCCTTCTCTTCCCTAGACTAGCCAGGCCCAGTTCCTGCAACCGTTCATCGTGGGTTGTAGCCTCCAATCCCCTCGTCATCCTTGTTGCTCTTCTCTGCACTCTTTTTAGAATCTCAACATCTTTTTTTATAGTGTGGTGAGCAAAACTGGATGCAGGATTCTAGGTGTGGCCTTACTAAGGCTTTATAGAGTGGTAGTAGCACCTCCCTTGATCTTGATTGAATCCCACTGTTAATGCAACTGAGGATTGCGTTGGCTGTTTTGGCTGCCACCACACACGGCTGGCTCCTATTTAGCTGGTTGTCCACTAAGACAGTGGTCTCCAACCTTGGCCACTTTAAGACTTGTGGACTTCAACTCCCAGAGTTCCTCAGCCAGCAAAGCTGGCTGAGGAACTCTGGGAGTTGAAGTCCAC